TCAGTCTCGACAACAGCATCCCCCAAGCGTCGGAGTCTCCCCCCCACCCGCCATCCATGTTATTCTTATTTTTGGGGAGATCACTTTAAGTATTCCCCAAAGGCTCATAATTCTCAAAGCTCAAGAGTTCACAACTGATTTTGAGCCTGTGTTAATCTGAAGCCCCAAGTTAGCGCGGCCAACTACATTTTTAATATTAAAGAAGCCGTAAATCCATCCATCTGGTTTAGCTGGATCAAAGTAACATTTCCCCTCCACCATTTCGGACTCCACCTTGGTATATTAAACTTGGGTCATATTTGACATCTATGCAAATGTCCACAGGATGAGATAATGACATTTTTTAAAAGTGGCAAAGTGGAAAAGTTTAAAGTGACCACTCTTTTAAAAACAATTGGGACCGCAGTCTCCTTGAATATGGGCAGAACACGTCCATCTATCTTGGAAAGCAGGTCTATGAGAATGGCGTTCTTTTTTTTTCCTCTCGACAAAAGCCAACACGTTACAGCTGACCGGTTCATGGTTTTTTTTATGCTGCCAAGTTCTCTGTGTTTTTTATGGAGAAGCTTATGGAAAAATATGTACCCCGAGGAATAAAGAAATATATAAAATGCCTGAGCAAATACAATGCAACAGGTCTATGTTTCATGGTTTATAGGGGGGGAAAAACAGGAAAACGGCTGGCGAGGAATCTTAACTGCATGCGAGGAACAAGGACTAAAGGTTATGAAGGGAACGAAAATGTTTCAGTGACTGGATAATGCTATTGCATTTCTTCAAAACACAAGTAAAAGAAAATGCCCTTAAATATTATGTTTTTCCAGCATGGACTTCAAGTATAATACAAATACAGTGGTGCCTTGCATTACGACGTTAATTCGTTCCAGCGAAATCGCTGTAGAATGAAAACGTCGTAATGCGAAAATAAAAAACCCACTGATACGCATTAAAACCCGTTTAATGCTTTCCAATGGACTAAAAACACACTGTCCACCGAAGATCCTCCATAGGGCGGCCATTTTCGGTGGCTGTCTTGCGAGGAATCCGTCCCAGAAAAGAGTGGGGAGCCATTTTATTTACCCAGTGGCCATTTTGAAACCGCCAATCAGATGTAGAAAAATAATCGTTGTGCGAAGAATCAGTTCCTGAAGCAGGGAACTGATCATCACAAAGTGAAAAAAGCCTATTCAGACCATCGTTTTGTGATCGCAAAAACGTCACTGTAATGTGGGGCAATCGTAAAGCGGGGCACGACTGCACCTCCACATAATAAGCACCCTTCTTTCCTTTTTTTTAAATGTGATCATAAGGTAGATGGTTTGTTGTGCAAAGACTTTAAATTCAATTCCCCCCTCTCCCAAATTTTGTTTAATTACCCACTTTAAAACAAAGCATAAAGCAGTAGTCATCGTTTTGCGAAGAATCGGTTCCTGAAGCAGGGAACTGATCATCACAAAGTGAAAAAAGCCTATTCAGCCCATCGTTTTGCGATCGCAAAAGCGATCACAAAAACATCGTCATAATGTGGGGCAATCGTAAAGTGGGGCACGGCTGTATCTCTACATAATAAGCACCCTTCTTTCCTTTTTTAAATGTGATCATAAGATAGATGGTTTTTTGTGCAAATACTTTAAATGCAATTCCCCCCCCTCTCCCAAATTTTATTTAATTACCCACTTTAAAACAAAGCATATAGCAGTAGTCACTCTCTAGACACTCAGTTGCCACTCAGAACCTTAACACGGACGAATTTGTCTAACCCTTTTCTAAAGCCATCTGAGCTGCTGTCCACCATCAAATTTTGCGAGCAACTATCTAGACCTGGAAAAAGGCTTTGCGGGTATCCTGAACTGCCAGAAAGATGAGCAAGAGGATCCTAGAGCAAATCAAGCCTGAACTCTCTCTGGAGTCAAAAATGTTGAAACTGAGGCTTGTCCTACTTTGGGCACCTTATGAGGAGGCACAACTCTCTGGAAAAGAAGATGCTACTGGGAAAAGTTGAAAGCAACAGGAAAAGAGGAAGTCCAACTAGGAGATGAATTGACTGCCAAAAGCAACCATGGGCTTAAGAACTCCTGTTGAGTTGAAATAGTTAAATTTCTACAAATCCAGACTGCAGCCTGGGCTTTAAAAAAACTCATTTTTTTTACCAGTTAATCCAAAGTAACTGGAGGCTAATTGTCATAATAATAATCTGAGGTCTGAAGAGCTGGAAGTGACCAAACCCTGCCCCAGGACCAAGTCTTGTTGTCCAGCAGGGAATCGAACTCCGAACCTCTGGCTCCACAGCCAAAGAACTAAACCACTGACCTATCCAGCAGTTCTTTGTTGGTACTTGCGGGCACACTGGTAATAATCTTGTGGAAAGGACCCAGCCAGAATAGAAACAAACTGCAAGCAGCAAGACCAGCTAAGGACACCCATCAATCCCAGTGACTGATAATCTCTCTCCCCCTTATCACAACAAAAACACGCTGATCACCCTATCTCCTGAAAAGGACAAAAGCTGTTCCGACAGCTATAAATACTCAACTATCCAACAAATAGCAACAGAGCATGGACAGAGTTCCTACTCCTGTCCTCTGAAGATGCCGGCCACAGAGACTGGCGAAACGTCAGGAAGAACAACCTTCAGAACGCGGCCAAAGAGCCCGAAAACCTACAACAACCATCAGACTGTAAGTCTGTTCTAAAACGCAAATGGATGATTTACACAATAAGAAATGAATCCAGTCTGTTCAAACCATCTTCTCCTCGAAACAATAATTATTCCACCAACACACCATACAGAGGATATTGTGAGGAGCACATAAAGGTAGCAACTGAAAGTGTTCATTGTTTTTTTCAAGGCTCTGAGATTAAGCACATGCTTGACTCTCCCAGTGAAATCAATGGGATTTAGAACTTCTTATCTTTCTTGAATGTTGCTGATGCTCCACCCTCTTAAACAAGGCCTTGCGAAACAGAATTAGTTGGTGGATTGCATTCGGAGTTTGATTTTAAAAACGTACGCAAGACAACAACTGTATCGCCATGCTGAACTGTAAAAGCTTTCTTGGCACGATTTGTTTGGGTTCTTTAAAGAAAGCCATAAAATAAAATACACAGAGGCCACTAAAAACTCCACCATCCAATCCAAACCACTCAGAATGGTTAAGATTTAAGTCATCTGTTTGGGATTTATTGCTCATCGAAATTAAGCATCGAAGAGGGAGTGGGTTGGGATTTCAGCGGGTACAAAGATTACAGCACCAGCTGCAAGCAAAATATGTTGGCCTCTGGCACTCTAAAGATGCCAGCTGAGGTCATTTTTCCACGTGCTTTGGAAATGACCATGTAACTGAATGACATAGTGATAGATTTTGACATGATTCACAATAAACCCCCAACAGAGAATTCAAAAATACAGGCAGTTGCATTGAACACATCAACAAACCCGTTATAGCAGTTTTCCTCTCCAGAGAAAGCAGGTCTTTTATAAAGCTATTGAGTCTTAATTGCCCACTTTATACCAAACCATCCAAAATAGATTGTGTTACCAGAGGAATAGCCCACAAGAATATATTATGGGCGGGAAAGAGTCATCCCAACACATCCCCTGTGAAAATAAGGAACCCAGTGCTCTGATCTTGTGGACCTGGGTTCCTCTCCACTCCTAAATTAACCACAATTAAAACTGACTTGCACATGTATCCACATTTAATCAATCATCAGAACAGACTATCTATGCAGTCAAAGATGCTAAGCTAATACCTCAGTACATTTGGTAAGACCTATAAATAAAGTGAGGTTTTAAAAACCCATAAAATGCATACACTCATAAAGGTAAAGGTAAAGGTTCCCCTTGACAATTTTTGTCCAGTCGTGTTCGACTCTAGGGGGTGGCGCTCATCCCCGTTTCCAAGCCATAGAGCCAGCGTTTTGTCCGAAGACAATCTTCCGTGGTCACATGGCCAGTGCGACTTAGACATGGAACGCTATTACCTTCCCACCGAGGTGGTCCCTATTTATCTACTCGCATTTGCATGCTTTCGAACTGCTAGGTTGGCGGGAGCTGGGACAAGCAACGGGAGCTCACTCCGTCGCGTGGATTCGATCTTACGACTGCTTGGTCTTCTGACCCTGCAGCACAGGCTTCTGCGGTTTAGCCCACAGCGCCACCACGTCCCTCACAGCGTCACCACGTCCCTCATAAATTAAGCATAAAATATGAAGTCCTATGAATTTACACAAGCACATGCTTCATTCAATCCAACACTGAAATGGGTACAATGTTAGGATATACAGTTCTCCTGAATCCTTCAGGGGTGCAACTACAGTACCTCAAAGATATTATGAGTTGGTACAGAATTTATTGCCACAAAAATATTTATATTAACTAAAGCGCTGAACGAAGAGGTTTCCTTAATTAAAAATGTGGATATCCAAAATGTTGGCAGATTACAGATAGGAGACTGAATATACCAAGAGAGAAATAGGTATACAGTGAACAATTCAGACCCAATAGTCATACAAAAGAACTGCTCTCCCTGGAGAGGAAAACTGGTACGATCAGTGTGTTCAGTACAGAATTTTTTAAAACACAACATTGAACTCTATCTATAAAATAAATGGAGGCACAGTGGAGAGGAAAACTGGTACGATCAGTGTGTACAGAATTTTTTAAAACACAACGTTGAACTCTACCTATACAATAAATGGAGGCAGAGAACATTTTGAAAGCTGATGCCTTTGGAGAAAAGGAGAACAGAACTGAAAGGTCTGGATTCAAATCCCTTCTTAGTTGTGAAGCTTCTTTGGGGATCATGGGCCGACAGCTTAATCTACCTTTCAGGACTAATGTAATGATAAAATGGAGTGGAAGAAACGTGTAAGCCACTTAGAGGAAAGGTTTGTCATAAAAATGAGTAAGAAAAAAGATAGACAATTACAATATTCCTTATTGCAAATCTTTTTTAAAAAATTCTGTTAATTCTTTTTAACATACCGTAAATACTTACAAAACTTCAGGAGATCAATTTTATCCTAGAAAGCATACTCTTCCTTATCTCTCTATCTCATAATGCCTGCATTATCTGGAAAGAAAAGCAGTTAAGTCAATAAATGCTCCAGACAGGATTGCCGGATTTATTTTTCCGCCAGTGTTTCAACCATTCAATGATAAGTAGAGAGTCGGCACATGAAGCTTTTCTTCCTGACAGGATTGCCGGATTTATTTTTCCGCCAATGTTTCTGTGTTTCAACCATTCAATGATAGGCAGAAAGTCGGCACATGAAGCTTTTCTTCCTACAGCTATAAAGAAGACTCTACCAGTTGCACTTCTGCCTGAAGGACCTGCAGCTGGCAAAGTTCAGGCTACCTGCCATGGCAATGAGATGCGTCAGAGAGGGAAAGGGAGCGCGAAGAACTTTGTTTAGTTAGATCTAATGAAGGCATCATCTTCAGAAGTTGGGTGTGAACCTGGTAGGTTTCTCCTTAGGCAGCTGCTGCTTTAGCATAATATTTGGGAACAGGAAATAATTATAAAACACAACCAACCCAACCTCAGGATCACATTCAAGAGTTCAAAAAAAAAGCTGAGGACCACATTTCTCAGGCCCATAAAAAACAGCAGTGTTGCTATCATGGAGGTTTGAATTGTCGGTTGTGTCATTGCTGGTTTTTACATTTCATGACCGCAGTGCCATCTAAATGGGAAAATCCTCGTCTCTGTAAAAATAATAGTGGTTTTAAAAGTACAATATTACCCATTCCATAGATAGGAGCCACCAGTAGAAATGGAACTGTTCCCAAATTGCCACCCTCTTAATTTCAGAAACACCCCTCCACCCCCGAAAGGCCTATGATGATAACTATGGAGGGAATATATGAGATGTAACAAAACCCACCCCCCCAGTTCTACAGGACAGGCTGCACCTGTTGAACTTCTCCAGGTTGCCCAGCAAAATAGAAGTCACACTTTCAAAAGGAAAGGAAACCACACTGGCTGGATTTCTCCCCCTCTCTGCCCCATTGCTCCCGAAGGGCTGGACAGGTCGTGGCCCTCCAGATGTTGCAGGACTACAACTCCCATGATCCCCTGCCAGCACGGCCAGTGGGGAGGGAGGAGGGAAACCCCAGTCGATCGTCCTGCCACGGGCGATGAGTGGCCCGCCCACCCCGTCCTAGGCGACTCGGGAAAGAAGACATCCCAGTTATAAGGCAAGCCTTCCCATTTTATAGGAAAAGCCACACCTGTAGAATGTCTACCTGCTGTAATGGCAAAACTAGGGGGAACGAAAGGGAGCCTGTGAAACAGAGCCTCGCTAGATAAGGTGACGTTTAGCTCCCAATCAGACACACACACACACACCACGGTACCCCAAGCACGGACACCCCCCCCACTATCCTCCTCCCCCCCCAGTGCAACTTCGGCCTCACCTGCTCCCCCCTTGGGCACAGGCGGCGTGGGATGGATCGATCGCTCGGCGATCCGCCAGCGATGCCTGTTCCGGCCTCGTAGGCTTATGCAGGCGGCTAGGCAAGCGAGCCGATGACCGAGCGCCGGAGCTTTCTGCCACGTGATCACTGAGACTTCTTTCCCCCCCCCGACGAAGAAACAGCGCGTGCGCAGAGGAGTTGTTCATGCTCTGCCTTTGCGGCTTGCTCAGAGAGAGAGAGAGAGAGAGAGAGAGAGAGAGAGAGAGAGAGAGAGG